TGACCTCTCCTACGCTTTTGATACTGTGGACCATTCAATCCTCCGCCACTGCCTCTTGTCCCACCTCAACCTTCAAGTTTCTGCCCTTGCCTAGTTCAGATCCTACCTTTCACACCGCCTCCACTTTGTCTCTGCAAACAGTTTCTCCTCCAGCCCCCGCACCATCTCATGCAGCATTCTTCAGGGCTCTGTCCTCGGTCCCTTCCTCTTCACCCTCTACGTGCTCCCCCTTGGTGACGTCATCCGCAGACATGGGGTAAATTTCCACATGTATGTGGATGACACCCAACTCTATCTCTCTGCCTCCACCGTCAACTCCAGGTTTCTGGCGTCCTGACCGACTGCCTGTCCGACATCAAGTCCTGGACGAGGGACAATGCTCTCCAACTGAATGTCAGCAAGACCGAGACCCTCCTGATTGGCTCGCGCCAGCGCCTCCGCACCTTGGGCGCTGGCAGCATCAGCCTCCACGCTACACACTCAACCTCCCTAAGCCAGTCAGGAACTTGGGTGTCTTGTTTGATCCTGAACTGTCCTTTCTCCCCCACATCCACGCCATGACCGACACTGCTACCACCACCTCCACAACATTACCAGACTCTGCCACTGCCTCACCCCTCAGGCTGCCGAAACCGTCACCCACGTATTCGTCATATCAAGGCTTGGCTTGATTATGGAGACTCCTTCCTCATCGGCCTTTCCAACTCTTCCCTTCACAAGCTGCAGATCATCGAAAACTCTGCAGCTCATGTACTCTTGTGCACCAGGCTCCGTGACCCCATTCCTCCCACCCTCGCCCGACTCCACTGGCTCCCCATCCCTCAGAGTATCTAATTCAAGATCCTCATCCTCACTTTTGCTTTGCCCCCTCCTAACTCTCTGACCTGCTGACTCCCTACCAACCTGCCCGTACCCTCCATTCAGCGGGCTCCGGCCTGCTCCATGTCTCCCGCCCGACCCGCCCTACCATCGGTGGCCGGGCTTTCAGCCTCTCTGCCCCACACACTGGAACTCCATCCCACATTCCCTTTGCCTCGCTTCCTTCCTTGCCTTCTTCAAGGCCGGTCTCAAGAACCTCCTTTTTGATTGTGCCTTCAGTCGCCCTCCCACCTCTCTGCCTTTCCTCACCCCTACTCCACCCCTCCCCCATGCTTGGGTCCTGACCCCTGACTGTCCAACGCCTTGGGACGTCCTCCCAACGTGAAAGGCGCTCTATAAATTTTGTTGTTGTTGATGTAGTTAGCTCCACTTGAAATTGTGACAGAAGATTGAACCGGAGTATATAAATACAACAGAGCCCAGAACCTCAACACTCAGGAGTTATAAACATGATTTATACAAACTCTTTGCCCTTGTGTCTCAGTCAATGCACTTTCAAGTCCGAGAATGATCTTTTCCACCCTGCTCTAAGTTCTCTCCAACAGTTTCAATGCCCTTTTGAAGGGAATTTTGAAATCCACAAGCATTATTTCTGATGGTCTTTTGTTAATGTTTATAAATTCATGTCATAACAAATTAACAGTATGAAGAACAAAAAGAAACAGTACTATTAAAAACGTATTTCATTCCATTCTCTTTCTTCAGAAAAAGTCCTGGACATTATAAATGGCCAATTGATGAGTGTTCACTCAGCAATAGTACCCTGGGTGAAATTAGTTAATTGAGGGAAAAATGTATCATATTAATAATAATAATCCTTGCATTTGATATAGCGCCTTATCACGTCGTTGAGACGTCATAAAGCACTTAAAAAAAAGTGTAGTGACTGTGAGTTTTGTGGGCGAAACGCAGCAGCCAATTGTGCACAGCAGTGTCCCCCAAACCATTGTGGATTGAGTAACCTAATTTATTATTAGGGAAGGTAGTTTTTACAAAACCAGGATAGTGCTACCAGAAATTAAAGCATCATCCTAAAGAAGTTATGACCTTATAGTTGAGAAATAATTTCTTCATACTTTGGGAGTTGTTGACTTGTGTGAGACACTGCCATCTAGCGTAGTGTATGTCGACTCAATTACAGCACTCAGAAGGGAATTGAATTATTTTTTGAGCAAATCATCAATACTTGCACATTAAACTTACATGACAATATTTTTGGTAAACATAGATAGACTACTTGTAACCCTTTCACCTGTGATTATTTGCAGAAGTGTATAGAAGGCAGAACAGGCACTGGACAGTTACATCAAGGACTTCCGCCCAGCATTTCACTGCATTACAGTTCAGTACCACTGCTAAGTCATATTTGCTGAGCCAACTCACAGGTAGTGTTAGCTGATTCCAAAGTCTAAGTTCACCCGACAAAGGGTGATTTTCATACAAAATAACAACCGCCTTCAAATGGTAAAACCAGAGAGGAATTATTCATCTACATTGAATTTTATTGGTTTCTGTTAAGACGATCAAACAGAAAAGAAGCACCAGAGAAAACAGGTTACCTCATCTACTGCAGATGTGTTAGTACAAATGACTTGTGCAACCTCCAATTTTATTTATTCTAATTGCCAATATCTTTCTAAAAAAAACAATTCACACATAGAACGCAAAAATTGGAAATTGACAGCATTTCAAAGAAGTCATGAGTTTTTGTAGAGACAGATGGAATGTCTAAAATATTTTTAAAGTGGCACAACTGAGAACACATTAGCACCATTAGTTATTCCCTTGTAATTGTCTGACCAACCTTAGTGTTTAAAAAAATAGCACCATTTAGAGAAGACTGAACACAATCAACTGCACAAACATAGTAATGAGATCCAGTGGAAACAATGCAGTTTTTAACCCCATCCCTTTGATATGTTTATACATTTTCAGAAAGGTGCATGGATAAATCCATACGTTTTATCAAGAGACAATTTTCAATCTTTTTTAATGAATTAACAAATCAACAACCCTTTTGCATCGTGTATAATTTAAGGAGAATCACTACTAAAGTCCAATACAACGGCTCAATATTATGATTAATATCTTACTTTTCAAAATGCAAACATCATCCGGTGGACGTCAAAGATCTTCAGGCAAAATAGCCCCAGTGACCAAACCACAAATAAACACCCAGCTGGATGTATTTTACATTTTGGAATATCTAACATGGGAAACCAAGACAGAATAATGCCATTCAGCCCATCAAGCCTGTTCCACTAGGTTTCTTTCAGATTGATCAATTAGTAGCATTGCTAAACACATCTGAAGTACTAAGGTCTAGATTACCCTTAAAATACTGCAACAGTGCAACATTGCACTTATCTACTGTACTGGACGACAGGGATCAGGAAGTTATGTGTGTACATATCCATGTATATGTATAATGTTGATATGCTCAAAATACTAGTTGCTGGATTAATTTCAGTCTAGCACAATTGGAAGTTCTGGGTGATGGTATCGATAATGATTCAAGCTCATTTTGGAATTTGTGTTTAGCCTTCTTGGCTGACACTCTAGTCCAGTAGAGGGAGTGTCGTTATTCAGATGAGAGACACCTAAGTCTCGCCTGCTTGAAACTTGGTGAAGTTTAAAGATCTTATGATATTATTCGAAAAAAGAAGGCACTTTCTACGAAGGCGCTTGCTTTTCTGGCCAACAATGTTGTCAGATTAATTGGTCATTCGTTTTATGACTGCTTGTTGGACCTTGTAACTGCCATATTCGCCTACAAAATACAGTTACTACTTTACAGCAAAAAGCACAAAAAGCTAAAAGTGTTATATCAAATGAAAGAGAATTATTATGCTTGCCTACAAGAAGTCACTGCACTTGACAGTTCTCATCATCAATGAAGTTATCGTCAAGTTCTTTGAATCATTATGACAATTTATTTCTATAAAATGCAAGTACTTGAAGCCAGTTTAGCCCTAGCTTACTCCCCCTTTCCTCAAGGTGAATGTTTCTATGCAAGTGATAGTAATTTAATCAATTACACAAGTCTTGGAGATAAAATTTGGTGATAAACCAACTTGAGAAATCTGGGGCTCACGTAGTGAGTGATCCTTTTACAGAAATCATTCTACATTCAGTACAGCATCCATGATGAGGTAGGTGAAAGATAGGCTTTTTTTAGTATACGTAGTACCTCATAAACTGATTTTTCTGCATTTTCAGGTATAAATAACACCAAGGAAAAAATATAGAAAATTTAGGAGAAGGTACAAAAAGAGTCTAATAATCGAAAATGGAGTACAATAGAATATCTGGTGAGTGTTGCATAGTAGAGAGATGACTTAGCAAATAGACAGTCTTACAAATGGTTTGTTCAATGTCGAGACCTGCAAAACGCACCACAGTTACAAAAGTTATTTAGTCAATCACGAAACAATAGATTGCCTCAGGGATTCTGAGGTACAGAAGACATTGATGGATAGAGAAATAATCCATATTTTAACCAACAGATCAGCAGAACTGTGGTTCATCTATCAAACAGCCAGCAAAAGCACAATGGGCTGATTGGCCTTCATTCGTTTTGTAAATTTCTTTAGTTCTACTATTCTAATAAATTCCCATCATCATTTTCACCCAATCGCTGTATGGAGTTTGACATGGAATTAATTGTATGCCTTGATATTCCAAAGCCTTAAGATTTTATCTTTTATTTTTGAAATAACCACTACTTGATCGTAAAAAATACCTAATGAACATTAATTGGGAAATGCTGTCAAGGAACTCAGTTTTTGATCAAGATGTTTCTCTTGTAAGGGTCAGAGTTCACATTTGCTCTGGGCAGTGAATTTCATGAACTTTTATTACAGTTTGTGAACTGTGAAATTCACAAAAACAAGACCCATAAACCTCAAGTTTTTTCAATTATAACCTTTTCTTTTCTTTAATTAAAACAGATGATAAATTATATCTCAAAACAGTTCCCTCAGAGTCTAGAGAAACCTTACTGCAAGTAGTTAGAACTTGGAATACCAGCAATGGGGAGAGGTGGGGTGTAGAGAAATCAGTTCTGTGTCAACCTTTTTTTAATAAAGTTGGAAATGGCAATTTAAATAATCTGACATTACAAGAAGCAGACAGGACCAAGGTCAACAGCAAATTCCTGTTCTTCTGCACCAATATCCATTGGTGCCAGATCCACAATGGGCAGGTGAATTGTCTTCCGAGTCCTGTACTGAAAGACGGTCTTGCTCCACTCTCCAGTGTGTTTCTGTGAGAACATAGGATCAAATGGTCATTAACTAATGGATGTCTTGCATTAAACTTATTAACTAGTGAAAATTAGTCTGCACCAACTCTCTAAAAGTCCAATTCTTTTTAAATATCAACTTATTTTTAAAGGTACACTCATTTTAATTATTTTTAAATAGATGTACGTTCTTATGTTCACCATACTTACAATTACTTTGGTTTTCTTAGAAAATAAATAAAACCAAGGCAGCTTTGTGAACAAAATTAACCAAAATGATAGCCTTGTTGTTCTAAAAGACACAAAATATTTGCAAATTTCAAAGTTAAGGCAAAACTCAATAATTTGTCAAATTCTGGATGCTTTAAAAATTGTATAAATAAAGTAAATTTAGAGCCAAATGGAATTTCTTCCCATGTACATCTGCTGGCTGGCTTTTGGTATCTCACTCAAGTGGAGATTGTTTATGTAGGAGTCTATCTAGTGGCAGGAAGCTATTCAATCATGGAGAATATCAAGGTCAAGTCTAATCTTGCCCTTATCCATCATTATATAACAATAATAATCCTTGCATTTGATATAGTGCCGTATCATGTCTTCGAGACATCTCACAGCGCTTCACAGAATATACTGTAAAGTGAATTGACTGGATGTTTTGTGGGTGAAACGCGTCAGGCAATTGCACACAGCAGTGTCCCACAAACAGTGGTGGATTGAGTGTCCAAATTTTTTTAAAAAAATGTTTTTGAAGGGATCATAATCAGGGTGCCAGTTTTATCGCCCGCTCAGGTTAGATTAAACTGAGATTGCCTCCTTATCTGGCAAAAAATCAGCTTTCCAACTGAACCGATTGGACAAACATCAGTGATAGTAACTCTGGCTGACTTTTTGTTCTCAATCCTAAAACAACTGTATGGTTCTCCTCAGCTACCAACCATTAATTCAGCATAGACAAAGGATCAATCCTGGAAATGTGCCATTTTGCATTCCTTAGCTATACCATTTTATTATGTGCAGGATGCTCTTAAGAGTCAACAACAACAACAAGATTCCATTTATAAAGCGCCTTTCACGTCAGGAGGACTTCCCAAGGCGCTGAGAGTCTTTATGTATATACAATATTTACGTAATATATATAATACCTTAGAAATAGTGGGAATTCCATCATATTCCCTTCAAGTCTCTATATTTATAAGTAACTTTTCTTGTATCAAAGTCACTTATCAAACATTTCTGCCAGTGGATCAATTTTTCATTCACATGTACTTACACTGCAACCATCTTCAAGGACACTGTATCTTAATTTGATGTTTCCTTCAGCCTTGAGTTCAGAATCAGACCAGCTCATCAGCCTTAAAGCCTTCTTGATATTTCCAGTCTCAGCATCCATGTATGCGATGCTGTTCTTACAGTGGTACGTGATATTCTGGGAACCTCGAACGGAAAGCAAACGAAGGAATCCCATTTGGATTTCAGCGACGTCTTCATCTACGCCCTGGTCACCATAGCTGAACTGTGGAAATAAACTTTTCAGTCAGCTTTCACAGAAATATGTGTGTAGTGTTCAAAGACATCAGAAAACACTCTATCCGCAATGCAAATGCATTTTAGTATTTTACTTTAAGCATTATTCTGCACTACAAGACAGTTTTAACATTGAGAACGTAAGGATGTCTGTCCAGAGAATGCACACTTCTTTCGATGTAAAATGCGGAAACATTAACATACGAAGACAAGGGCTTTAATCCTCCGAATAACAATCCTCTGAATTCTTATAATGAGAGTATAAGTATTTGATCACAGTCCTAATTTAAGGAGCTGTTAAATTGTTATGGAATATAGCCTAAACTAAGAATTTTAACATTAGTAAAATTAAATGTGTGTATTTAGTTAATGTTGATATTGACTATTCTGATGAGACCACAGATATATGTTTTATAACACGTCACAACATTCCTGAGCAGATGCTCTGTATATTATATTCTACAGGGTGTTGTGGTCCAGCAGTCTGACACTCACGTAGAAGCCGCCATCCATAGACTCTCCAAACCACACATGCTTCATCTCACGGCTGCCTCTGTTTGACCACCAGCTCTTACGTGGGATGCTCGCAGGGTTAGGGTGCATGCAGGTCTCCCCAGTCTCCATGTTACAGTGCACCTTGATGGCGTCCAATTTACAGCCTTGGTTGGGATCAATCCAGTACTCTCCTGTGAAGACAAAGTGACGTCTTACAGCAAAGCACCAAGATGTATGATAATTGAAAGAAATACAAATTCATTTCCAGGTTAAAGAACCCATTTAGTATAATCGGTGTATCAATCCAATAATGGAATTGTAGGTATGTAGAGATCAGCAGGATGAGAAACATCTTGATGCTGCATAGCTTCAGTGTACGTACACCCTAATCATTGCTACTCCATGATCTAGTGTTAAAGATCAGGTAATGTCTGTAAACCCTAGAACCTTGAATATGCAACTGGTTCTGTCATGCATGATGTGAGAAACAGCCCAGGGTTTGCTGAGCAAATTAAACTTACAAAAGGCATTTCCTGACCAATTTGCAGAATCAGGCAGTTTGTCACACAAAAATAAAATGCTTCTTAAAACTATCTTCTTACCGCTGTCGAATTCTGGGTGACAGGATTTTAGGTCCCGACAACTTTGGGCAGGATTCTTCTGTGATCCATTAGGGATATCAATGGCATCTATCCGGCCATTCAGTGACTTCAGAGTCGCCATGACTTCCAGTTCTGATTCCTGTGCCAAATTACCTGGCTGATCCCCATAGTATGACCCCTGGAACGTGTCACCTTTATCTACAGATTCAAATCCTCCAGAACAACAGGAACCAGGAGGACCAGGGAGGCCAGGAATACCTTGTTCACCAGGAACACCCTGTGGAGTTCAAACGATTTATGCTCATTTGTCCACAAACGCAGTCGAGTGTCTTGTTAATTCAATGTGTAACCTCACAGGCAGGATTCGGGTGAATTGCTCACTTACAGGAGGGCCAGATTCTCCTCGTGAACCCCGGGATCCGGAAAGACCTATGGAGCCAGGATACCCACTGCTACCATCTTTGCCAGGAGAACCAGCTGAACCTGGAGGACCCTACATAACAATTTTCAAAATGCACATGAAAAATAAATTAGCCGTAAATTTTTACCCAATATTCCACAAGCATGTGAATATTTACACACGGGTCTGGCAAGATTTAAATACACCAATGATTTCAACCCTGCTATTTGCATAAGTGTAGTTTGGAACTTGATTTCTGTACAACTGTTGAAGATATAAATGGTAGATTATAGGTGCACAAGGATGGACACAGTTGAATCTTGTACTTTCATTAAACGTCAGAAACGTCTTCAGGGGTAGAGAAAACGTTTAATCTTAAGCGATGTAATCCGAGTTAGTTAATAAGACTACCAGTAGTCCACCACCCTGGTGCATCTCTGTGCTCTAGAAAGATAACAGCCCGATTTAGACTGCAAATTGTTCATTTCACTCACTCTAACACCTTGAGGTCCAGGACTCCCAGCTTGACCCGGATCTCCATTAGAACCCTAGCCAAAAAAAAACAGACACATAAAGAAATGCTCACTTGACTTCTGTAAAATAACAGCATTTGCAATTACAAATCATATAAACTATTAAAGGTTTTAAAAAAACATCCATTAGTTTATTCTTCATTCTGAATTGCGTTAACTGGAGTTTAGTGTGATTATACGGAACACAATATATATTACTTACAGGAGGTCCTGGCAGGCCTTGCCCACCTGGGAATCCACGATGACCCTTAATGCCATTAGTACCTGGTTCCCCTCTTTCACCCTTCTCACCCCGAAGGCCGTGAGGACCCTGGAAAATATGCAATGGTAATTTATCACGCTACTGGATCAGAATAATTCTATGGAAATACTCAACATATGCATCAACTGCATCATTTTCCAAGGGCTAACATGCACACGGCACCAAGTACACTAGTGAATTGGTTTCAATGGCGATCCAAACAAAACTTGCAAGAAATGACCACAAAATTCTTCATTTAGGCTAGTTGCCGAATCCACACATAAAAAGCAAACAGTGGCAACCAAATTTGTTTCCAAGGTAACTTCCATGGTGAAGAAGTGTAGAGTATATTTATTATACGCAGCTGCAAATAATAGTTTTTACTGTGATTAAATTGCTAACTCGAAATTTGTGAATGTAAAAAATACAACTTGCCTTTATATAGTACCCTTCACACAGGGTAGTGTCCCAGAGTGATTCCATCTCATGTATGTCTTTGTCACCTCCCGCCTCAACTTGATTTGTCCAATGCCCTCCTCATCATCCTCATTATAACCTTCAAATGATTCCATCAATGAATCAGAATATATGTGAACAACCAACAAACTTACCACAAGCCCAGGACGTCCAGGAGACCCTGAGGAACCTTGCGAGCCAGGATTACCCTAAGAGGAGAGATGAAAGAAAAGTATGCACTTTACTGTACAGCAGTTGCATTTTAAGCATTGATTCACATTTGTGTAAAACTAACCGTTTGAGTGTTTTTCAGTAAGGTACTGGAATCAATTGTACAGCACAGAAGGGACCAATTAGCCTATTGTATCTTTGACAAAGCTTTGTTGTTTGGCAAAGAATGATTAATACAAAGAAAACGCAATTAGTTCTGAAATAATTCATATGAAATGCGCTTTTTTTAAAAAAAATATCATGAGGATTTCTGAGGTCAGGTCTGTCATCAGAACCTTGAAGATTTCAAGTCAATAGATAACAATAATCCTTGCATTTGATATAACACTGTATCAAGTCATTGAGACGTCTCAAAGCGCTTCACAGAAGAAGTAAAGTGAATTGACACTATATTTTTGTGGGCGAAATGATATGCAAGAAAAAAAAGTAAAGTATATAAAATGATATGAAAGAAAATATATAAAAGATAATAGATAATAATAAACCTTGCATTTGATATAGCGTCTTATCATGTCTTCGAGATCTCAAAGCACTTCACAGGATACTCTGTAAAGTGTAGTGACTGTTTTTTTTTTGTGAATGAAACGTGGCAGCCAATTGCGCACAGAGAAGACTGAATATGTTTGCTGAGGCTGAGGTTTCAGACCAACTTCTAGTGAATTGACTGAGCCTTGACATGTGCTCACATAGTGCACGGTTACACGAGTCATAGTTGGGTGGGAAGTTGTGCTGATTTCCAAACTTACCGGTTGTCCTCTGCCACCGTGTTTGCCAGCTGTACCAGGTTGACCTGGGGAACCGGGAAAACCAGGAGGACCAGGATTGCCTGAAGTGCCAGACTCGCCACGATTGCCCTGCCCAGAAAACAATTACCATTGATCAGAAGAGGAGATAAGCAATTTAAATGCTAAATTTGAGTTTGATCAAAATACGATTCGGTTCTTACCTTAGGCCCTGGAGTTCCATCTCGACCAGGAGCGCCATCAGCACCAGGGTTACCCTAAAGAAACAATGAAGGTACTTAGTATAATACAGCATAAAGCACCCCCAAAATAACCTTCACAATTAACTGTAGCAATCAAAGATTGCTCAAGGAACAGTTTATCTAAACAGCAAATTTGCAGTTGTCTAAGAACATACTAATTTGCTCGGGGAAAGAAGGCCAAGGTCTATCCAGTTTGCCTTCCACTCTTCTGGCAGTCGCATGACACGTTGTATGCCAAATTACCAAATCCTGAGGTATTACAGTACTTCCTAACAGAAAACTATCTGATTTGTTCTTTGAATGAGGTCAATGAAAGTAGATGTGCCACTCTACTGAAATTGCACTTTTGTCCTGAACCTGAGAAGATAATTGTGTTGATCGTGCAGTGTGTCTATGTGGGGCAGTGAGTCCTCTTATAGTTCAAGCAGGATTCAAACACATTTAAATCCACTTACAGTTTTTCCAGCCTCACCAGGGGGACCTCTTAGACCAGGGTGTCCGACTTGGCCAGCAGGTCCTCGCCCTCCAGATACACCAGGTTCACCTTGTTTGCCAGCTTCACCCTGAAAATAAAACAACACATTTGTAAGAGGATGGATCATTTAGAAATATAACACTATTGCTTATGATTCTCTCTGCCTTTATGATATTGTAAAGCATATATAAATACATTGTAGCATGCATTATATTTTTCTCAGGATTTTTCTATAATTTTCTCAGTTCAGGAAGGTGCTCTATTTCGAATTGGGATGTTTATATTAAATATCCATGTTTATTTATCATTCGTATTCATCTATGTCTAAATGAACAACCTAAATGAAAACAATTTACCTTACTAATTCGCTCTTTTGAGCTATGATAAGTACATTTGTGACTATGGATTCATGGCACTTTATATTGTACATATCTATATATATAATTTGAATCTTGTGCTTTTAAGTGTATTTACAGTGCAGAACAGCTATCCTATCATAAAGAGAAACATAGAATTTATGACCAAAGCTAACCTTTCGTTCAATAAAAGCAATAAAAGCAAGCTATTGAGATATCACAGATCTAACTGAATGGGTGCTGTAAGGAATAGTACACAATGAAAGTGAAATGTTTCAGGAATTATATTTCAGGATGCCCTCCCCTGTGAAACAAATCGAAGTAGATAATCTCATTGTGGTTCATGAATACATAATCATACTTAAAAGCCTGAAGATTATTACTTACAGGTAAACCGCTTCGACCTGGAGGCCCTGCACGTCCCAAACTGCCATGTAAACCTGCTATACCACGTGCCCCAGGAATACCTTGAATGCCTATTATACCAGAAGGACCCTATGAAATATGGAAAGATAGTGTATGTAGTAAGATCCCAGAAATTGTCAGTCAGAGGTATTTTTATTGTCTGGTTTTTCTACAGTCAAATCTGCGCATTACGCACATCATCTATAGATTTTAACTGAACAGGTAGTCTTCTGCCGACATCTGATAAGCTTTGTGAACTAATTCCTATCGTCATGTCATTTTCATGACTGGCTGTTGCACATTGCTCTTCTCATTCGCATTGCTCTGCGGTATTTGCCTTCTAAATACACAGATGTTACACTTTACAGTAAATCTTCTGAAATATTTTGAGGATTCTCCTGATGTAAAAGACGCTATATCAAATATCAAGAACCATTTTAGGGTAAGGACTTTACAACAATATTATTACAAGTTTACAGCAATATTGATCAATTATATAGGTATCTAAAACATATGTGTGTGAATATAGATATAGGTACACTTATATAGGTATCTTAATAATAATTTGGTCACTCAATTCACGACTGTCTGTGGGACACACCTAATAATAATCCCTCCAAAAAACAAAAACAATAATAAATTGGTAATTTTCAATTCCATGACTGTTTGTGGGACACTGCTGTGCGCAATTGGCTGCCGCGTTCGCCCACAAATTCACCTTACAGTATATTCTGTGAAGAGCTTTGGGACGTCTAGAAGACGTGAAAAGCGCTATATCAAATGTAAGGATTATTATTATTATTATATTCTGTGAAGCGCTTTGAGACATCTCAATGAAAGTGATAAGGCGCTATATCAAATGCAAGGAATATTATTAAATTTAAAAAATGAATTTAAACATTTTTGTTCCATAAATGAGATAAGTGACTCACTGGAGGTCCATCTAGACCCGGGGGTCCTATTTCCCCTGGACCACCGGCCTCACCCTTGGGACCAGCTTCTCCAGGGCTCCCAGGTAGTCCAGTGCTGCCACTTGGACCTAGAGGACCAGGTTTACCAGCTGGGCCTGGTAGACCTCGAGAGCCGGAGTTACCCTGTTCAAAAAAAGATAAAGGTAGGAGTAATGCAAAGTGCAACAGGACATTTTTTCCCCATTGGTTATTTTTCAGGGTGTTCCAACCTTTTGGCTGCTGAGGGACTGATGCCCTATTTGAGAAACGTCAGCGAACCGCATAAGCAATATGTTTGTGTTTCCCTTCCAGAAACAAATGGAGGAAGAGGGTGGGGGTGGGGGGGGGGTGGGGGGTGGGGGGAGAGCGGATGAAATTGGTTCCACCCTGGACCACCCTGGTGTCAGTAAATCATTACAGCTAGACACATTAATATTGATTCAAAAAGTCAATAGGATGTATTTTTTAAAATCAACAGCAAACAGGTCACTGGGTGATTTCTAACAGGATTAGAAATAAGAAATTTGTTAACATGGGGAGTTTTACTCCAATATACTGTCATCAGCATGACATGTTTCCTATTTGTTTACAAATAAACAGTCAGTAGACTTTACAGTGAAATCCTTTGAAGTGCTTTAAGATGATGCAATAACAACAACAACAACAACAACAAGATTCCATTTATTTAGCGCCTTTCACGTCGGGAGGACGTCCCAGATACTATATCAAATGCAAAAAATATTATTATATATTATTGAACAGTTCATTGATTGAAACTGACTTACCGGTGCCCCAGGAAGTCCACTTGCACCAACACTCCCAGGTATACCGCGTATACCCTGAAAAATATATATTTTTTAAAACGTTTCACACTAATTATGTTACTGCTTCCAACATTTTGACGGTAAGCTTTTATATTGGACAACACTTTTACTCCTTGAAATAAACGGTGTATTTTAATTATATTTATTCCACATAACAATCTGAAAAGCTGTGGCTTATTTACAAGCTCATCAGGACTATTTTCATTCTCTTGGTTCGATAGCAAAATTGCTCCAATCATTATCCCCTTTTTATCTGGCTCCTAATGGCTTGTTATTCATCAGTTTTGCTCGCTGCCTGTCTGTCCTTCTAATTTCGAATTGGTTTCATTGTCCTCTCTTTGCAAGTCACTCTGGTTTCTCTTTCACTTGTCCTTTTTACTTGTCTGCTCTGGCGTACTCTAGATTTTCTTTGATGAATACTCTCACTTTCAGTGCAGTTCGATTTCCCTATCTCGCTCCTTCTCACCTATCAAGGCATAACTGAGGTCTATGTTAAATGCAATGTTGCACAGTTCATAGAATCATAGAATTGTACCCCACAAAAAGAGGCCATTCGGCCCATTGAGTTAGTGCCGGCTATCTGAATAGAGCAATTAATGTCAATCCCACTCCCCAGCCCTTTCCCCATAATCTTGCAAACCCATGCTCCTCAAATACCCATCCACCGCGTTTTTAAAAGTAGTTATAAATATATAAATATATATATTACAATTCAGATTATATTCTCAGCAGAACACACTGGAATATGAGGAAATAATGATTATTTCAGTTGTATATAAAACTGTTTTATGAAAGATTCTTAAGCTGAAATTGTGCAGAGACATCCACAAAGCAAGTAAGTTGGAGTGATAACATTAGTACTCACAGGAGAGCCTGGCAAACCGCGATCACCTTTGGGACCGGATAAACCAGCAAGGCCCTATTCAAATGTAACACATCAGTTAATTGAGAACCTTAAAGTGTTTAATAATTTACAAATATATTAACCACATTATTGTAGAAATTACATACAAGATTGAACTCACTCTCTTTTAGAAAGCAATGGTATGTACAAATCAACCTTTGGAATTATTCATGCCTGGTCATAAGGCTGATCCCTTTGATCATCCTATCCATCCCAGTCTTAATGAGTCATCTCCTCCATTATATATACTTAGCCTCCTCTCATATCCTATTCCTACTATCATTCTTTTTAATGTTTTATTTCCCTTTTGGCCTTTACTGTCTTTCCAATTAAATATTTTCCAATTATTTCACATTAGTTCAAGTTGAGTGATCCAGCTAGCCCTTGAAGATTTGGATCTTATTCAAAGCAATTACGCAAACTCCAAAATTCACCCAGCTGTTCATGCAAGCCATTTGTCCTTTGCGCAATTATTTAAAATAAACATCACCGACAAGAAAAGAAGAACCAAGTGGACCTAATGTGTTGTACATTTTTCTTGTTCTATATCAATTACCAGTAAAAGCAATTTTACTTAGCCACATAACTTCACTATCCCAGAAAACCTTGTTTTGAAACCTCCCAGTTATTTCTTTAAGGACATTGCATGGTCTAAATCGTTTATCTTGAAGATAAACAACTATACTTTGCCCACAATGGGGTCTAATCTGGTTTGTAAATGGCGAATCCTACTTGTACTAAGATGTGTTGTGAAAAGCGCTGTATCAATATAAATGGCATTGTATTATTTTGTGTTGGAAGCGACCCACTGTAACTCCATTAAGTGTTCTGACCTCCTTGAAGCCATGTTGTGGCCAAAGGAGACTCCTGATGCTTGGCAGGAGATGGGCATCGATCGTTATTGTCATTCCAATGGGTCAGCTTCTGACATATTTGGATATGGACAAGATGTAATAGATACAACCCAATACATGAGATTTGTAACAGGAGATTGTGTTTATCTGGTATTATGTGGATAACTTTTATTGAGCAATTTGCTTACCTGTGAACCCGGCAAACCTTTTGTACCTTGAGGACCCGGGAAGCCAGAGGTACCTCTTAAACCAGGATTGCCAACTGAACCTTTAGACCCAGGTTGCCCATCCAGACCCTGGTGTGATAAAACTACAATTTAATTGTACACTTAGACAGCACAAATTTTAGAGAAATAATCTCAATAAAATTGTGAACATCTACTCACAATCTTCACTGTCAAATTTTTTTTTATTCATTTCACCTCAACTGATATGCGAGTTTGGTTACTTTTTCAATAATTATTATGAAATGGTGATTATGAAATGGTGATTTTACCATCCAGTTTCGATTTACTTTTGAACAGATTAATATATATACTCAGTTCACGAAGCTTACAGTGAGCATGTTTGAAAGTGCTGCATAGAATCTTTGGAGTCTGATACTCACTGGAGGCCCAGGAAATCCACTGGGTCCTTTGGGACCAGATTCACCTCTTTCACCCTAGAAATAAACAATATTCGTTTTTTCTCAAATGGCTAGAAAACAAATGAATTGTTTGTCTAAAGAAACATGGCATCACATAATCTAATAGACACCCTACACGACAGTAGTTTACTGAAGCTCATACTTATTAATGCAACATCTATTCATATGCACATTATTGATCATAAACTTACATTAGCTCAGAGAACAGAACTGTTTGCATATTTATATGATCACTGTCAAAAATTTATGTAAATGACAGATTTAAAATATGGAATATTTCAGGATTATTCATCTATCCACAGTACACCAGTACTATAAGCAGATTGGGGTACTTTATACCACCTCTTGCATCTGTAACTAGAATGCCCACAAAATTTTGCTCACAAAATATACAGTCAATTCACTTCATAGTATATTCTGTGAAGCGCTTTGAGATGCCTCAAAGGCGTGATAAGGCACTATATTAAATGCAAGGATTATTATTATTATTAATGCAAGACTGAGCTAAACTCTGGCAATATGCCATCTGTCATCACCTGTAGATATTGAATGAAATGACAGAATTAAGATGTACTTAAATAACACCTTAGTGAACTATTAATGAGGCGTGTGTTGAGTTTATAGGACTTTCTACTCATGATCGTTTGTCCACGGATGCAATTCTTAAACCCATAGTCGTACTTCACTCACATTAGAGCCACGGACACCAACGGGACCAGGAGGTCCAGCGGGACCAGGCTCGCCCTGGACAGGAGAAGAAAATAATCAAAGAGCAGAACAGGCAGATCATCAAAAGTAACATTAAACAGCTCACTGAACATTGTCCGACAAACAAATATCATGTCAATTACTGAAGTTTTAGTTTACACCTTTGCCCACAAAATATACAGTCAATTCACTTCACCGTATATTCTGTGAAGAGCTTTGAGATGTTTTGAAGCCGTGATAAGGCTCTATTCTAAACGCAAGGATTATTATTATTTGCTAAATTAATATAAAAATTAATTTTTCAATGCCTCCATCAATATGGCAAGGTAGTCCTATTGATCCTTAAGAGGATTTTGTTTTTGTTTTTCTATTTTGTTTACAGAAAACTGGCATGTTATTTCTTATTGAACAGCATATGATGTCTGATGTTATAAAGGAGCAATAATGTAGAATAGGCTGAATGAATATATTACCCTGTTTCCTGAAGAGCCAGGTTGACCCGGTGGACCCATGACACCTGGAAAACCCTACATCAGAACAGACAGCAATAAATGCATCAAATGGCAAAGAGCTGATAAAGTGTTATAGAGTGTTATAGAGTAGGTAAAGCCAATCTGTGTACTTACTTTGTCACCATCTTTACCAACACTGCCATCGGGACCTTTGGGACCAATATCCCCCTGTTGGAGGGAAAACATTTTAGTGAGATACATTTTAGCCTCATCTATTGCAATAAATTAAATTCTAAACTCAATAAAATCCGAGTTAAAAAAGCACACCTACTTTTTCACCTTTTGGACCTTCAGCCCCAAGTCTACCTCTCTCCCCTGGCATACCTTGAAGTCCTGGAGACCCCATTGCTCCCGATGGGCCTGGAGGTCCAAGCGCGCCCTGGGTTTAAAGAGAAAATTGCCCATGAAATAACATAGCTATATTTTCAGTCAACATAACTATAACATCTCAATTCTTACCTTGGCACCATCTGGTCCATTACTGCCAGGAGGCCCTGGTACTCCAATAGTTCCTGGAGAACCTGGAGGTCCTCGGTCACCTATAGCACCATCCTCACCCTGAGTGTAACAACATTTTCAATGTTACACAATCGTAACTTGGAAACAGATAAGAAAAGCAGCAAGGATTTTTCAACTGGACTTACTTTCAGGCCTGGTGTTCCAGCACTGCCCTTTTCACCAGTATTACCCTACACAAGGAGCAAATGAACAAAAATAATTTATGCAAGTCATAAATCCTTTGTCTGATGTTGGTGCAAAAATAAAAAATATTTGTGAAATATCTGAGGTTTGCTTATTTGATTGTAGAACGAGAATTATAATCAAAATTCTCTGGAATATTCATAGGATTATTGAGAGTACAGCAAAGGAAGCCATTTGGCTAATAGTGTTCTCGTGTAAGATTCCCCCACTGAAGCAATCTACTCTAATCTTATCCCCATGCTCTCGTCCCATTATCGTCATACTGGTGTTGCATCTCAACAAGTACCCAGTCACTAAACTTTGTGAAACTCTTTTGAGACATTTTGACAATATATTATTAATATGATGATGATTATTATGGGGTGATTATTATTATTATTATCATTATTCTCCACTGAAACTGTGAACTCTGCAGTCTGAGAAGACAAGAATCACTGACACTGGTTGACATTTTGAATTATGAATGAAATCCCTGAGTCTACAAAACCAAAAATGTTGTCAACTGTAGTGACTGTGAGACAAATCCTCATTGCCATTGGAGTAGAAATGACTGTTGGGGACAACATGAGAATTAATGGTTGGCAACTGCGTCCAAAGGAGCAAGTATTAATGGAACAGTAGAATGTTAAAATGTTACATCAAGAGGGAAAGTCAGACAACGTGAGAAGGTAATGGGAAGATCCATGGAAATCTGAAGTTTGGTGGAGTGGCATTGCAATGAAAAATAAATTGATTAAGATTATAACCATCGGTTTAGGAACGTGGTTATAACCCAGTGTCTGAAAGAGATGCAATGGTTCAAAGACCTGGCTTGCCCTAGTAGGAAGCTGCCCTCGATGCAAAGAGAAATGAAGAAAGAAGCGAGGAATTAAATTGAGCAGTAAGACTGATTTGTTATTAGCGTAGCTTCCCACTGCCTTTTCTTTGTCAGCTAGCCAGTCTTTTCTTTGACACATCACCATGCTCAAGAGTACTCAAATCAAACTGAATGTTCCATACACGTCACACTGTCTTTACACTGTCTGGAAAGCTTCAGTGAATGATCAATCAATACACCAACAAGGCTTTCCTCTCCACTTCGTGAATGGACATTTTAACCAGCAGTTAAGCACTCTGGAACACTACCCTACGTGAGGTGCACTGTATAAATGCAAGTTGTTGTTGTTTTTCTCATTGCAATGGGATTGAAAATATGATCGGGTCAGAGAACAGTTCCTGCAAGTCATGGTGACACACATTTGGTGCTCGCAGGATTCAGTGATTACAAATCCTTCACAAAATCGGCTTTGATTACTTAATTTTGACCCAAATATCTGAAATGCGCCTGCTGTGAAATGGACATGGAAATAAAATAATAGTTTATTGAATATTGACTTACTGGTTCACCAGGATTCCCATTTTTACCAGGGGGACCAACAGCACCACTTAGACCCTGTTGTGTAAAATAAATTACAGTAAAGTCAAATCCGGAAACAGACAAATGCAAATCTATACCCCTTTTAGACCTGATAATCCAGATTCTCAGAGCAATTCTTGTTCGCAAGTCGGATGACAAGCAAGTTATCAAGACTTAATTTTAAGTTCTGTTGCATGAAATATAACTCCCTCCACAGTCTCACCTCACTGTATGTCTGAGCTCCTTCATCCCTAGCGTAGCTATATGCCTGTGCTTTTGGTCGTTGCTCCCCTCACCACCCCCTTTCAGCTCCCACCCCCAGCTTGGGCAACCAACCAGCAGTGTCAAGGTCTTTGAGACATCCTTCCAAGATGAATGGCATGAATTGTATGAATGCAAACTGTATTGTACAAGATGTTACCCTACATGAAAGGTGCTATATAAATGCAAGGTGTTGTACTTTTACCTGGGAGCCGGGAGCACCTGGAAGCCCTGGCCCTCCTCTTTCACCAGGCGACCCCTAAAACAAGATGTAACACCTTATCACTGCATCCTTGGAGAAGTCAGAGCAATAATATAATTAAATTGTCAAGTTTTCAGCTACCAAAGTTTAACAAGTTTGTTTGAATACTGGCAAGACAGCAATTCCTGAGTATTGTTCGATAATGCGCATCTCTTGAGATTACGGTGCTTAAAATGCATTTTACAGTAAAATATTCTGTGAGTGAGAACCATCATAGCATTCATTAATCTTGTATCAGCTAATTCTGGGAATGGTGCTGGGTTCTCTGAAGCACCAGGAGAGAAGGAAGGATTTAAGGTGAAAGAATGCAAACAATAGCATCATTTCTTGGTTTCTGAATAAAAGGTGCAGCATTTTAATGTATATTGAAATGCTTTAAACACAACCCAATAGACTTGTTTGTTGAACAAAATACGTGAAAGTGTGTTTAAATTGAAAAACGAAATTTTGTCTGGCCATTGAGTATAGTGACTTTGATGATAATTGCTTACACTGTAATTTTCTAATTCTAACCACGTGTGGGTAAAAAATCCAGTGAGAGTTGCTTTCAGTGATACCCATTTAAGAGTCCCATTTGTGGTTGATTTCACAAGGTGCCTATATCGCACACCAGAAGTTTTCCCCAACAACAGTATAAATGACAAAGACTAAATGGCAAGAAGAATTTTAGCCCAATTTTTTAATAACCTAAACACATTAGATGTTTAAAAATAAGTATCATACTTACAGAAGTGCCAGCTGGGCCAGAAGAACCCATCTCACCTTGCTTTCCAGGCAGACCCTGTTGATGTTATTCACATGTAAGTCTTGCTATTCAAGCTATGCATCGAGTAGTAGTAATTCCTCTTTCGGCCAATGCATTCCTCCCATCCACCACCCCCCATTAATAAAATATTATTAGCTTACTTGTATACCAGGACTGCCTGGAGGACCTCTCTCACCAAACTTTCCAGGTTGACCCTTGTGTGAAAGAATAATCTCAATTTAGACATATCAAGCATTTTCAGCATTCGTGCCCAAAATATACGGTCGCCCACAAATTTGCCCACAAATATACGGTCAATTCACTTTACAGCATATTCTGTGAAGCGCTTTGAGACATCTAGAAGACCTGACCGTATATATCAAATGCAAGGATTATTATTATTATTATAAATATTAGCGATTGCACTGAAAACAGACCAAAATCACAATTATAAAGGAAGCCACATGAAACAATGCAAAATGCTACATTATCCAATATATTTGTGGAGAGATTCCACCTGGAACTAGATTTTGTTTCATTTGTGTAGCGTTTCAGAGCATCCAGAATTTTACAAATTTTTCAATTCAGTTTTAACTTTGAAGCCAATCTGCTGTAGATCTTAAAAGACAAGAAAACCAGCTTCAAAATTGATGCTGCCTTTAAGAATTTGCTAAACAGAGTAAATCGAGACTTAGGTGGAATGTCAACACCGTTGCTAATATAATCTTAATCTCTAAGAACGTCACAAACACAGAAGCATTAAAGTGAATTACACTTACATCATTACCCCTTGAACCAGGGAAACCCATAATGCCTGGGGAACCTCTTAAACCCTGTCTGCCAGGAGATCCAGGTGGTCCACGATCTCCAAAAGAACCCTGGTGAGAGAGGACGTGTTTAAGGAAATATATTTTTCTTCTGACTCAAGTAGAATTGCTTTAAGAATTGTCCAAATTCAGATAGAATCTACAATTCAATGCCATCACAAACTTTAAAACAAAACAATCTCGCAAGGTAGAATGATAGTTCAAGACGTTCCAAAAGCTAAAGATCGAGAAGGAACATATGGGCCAATTTAACACAAATACTAATGAAACAAAGAGTGATGTTTACTGAAAGGCTGCAGGTCTCTGGTGTCTTAGTTGGACATTACCTGAGGACCAGGTTTCCCATCTGCACCCAGGGCTCCAGGACTTCCTGGGCTACCCTAGAGCCAAAGGATGCACAGATAAGAGACAAAGCGTTAGTTGTGTATCAAGCTGTTAAATATATCCAACATGTATTATATACACATATAATACATTTAAAGATTACAGGAATATTTCTCTTACTCTCTGACCAGGGTTTCCAGGAACACCCAAGCGACCTGCTTCCCCCGGACTGCCTCTGGCACCAGCAGGACCTGGGAGTCCAATGGCTCCTGCAGAACCCTATTGATCGAGGGCATGGAGTTGAGTATTTTGAAGTTAGCAAAATACAGAAAAATGCTGATTATGAATTATCATTTGTAATTGATCTGAGTTTACTGAAGGTAAGAACCGATTGGCCCACCTTCTCACCAGTGCCACCAATCGGACCTGGGGCTCCACGCATACCAGCATACCCCTAGCAATAGAGACAGAAATATTATGTGATAACATTGACTTTTAATACAATTTATGATTAGAAAGTGGTATTTCATATTACTAATTATACAGAAAACAGACGTGCAATAAAACAGCTATGAAGTGATGAAGTAGACATGGAATCTAAGATAGAAATGCTTTTTTGCCCCCCTTGATCTAAAGCTGCAGTAAACTTAATAAGAATAGTAACCCTTGCATTTGATATAGCATTTTCTAGACGTCTCAAAGTGCTTCACAGATTATACTGTAAAGTGAATTGACTGTATATTTGTGGGCGAAACGTGGCAGCCAATTGCACACAGCAATGTCCCACAAACAGTCGTGGATTGAAATGACCAATTTATTATTGTTTTTTTCTTTTGAGGGATTATTATCAGGGGTTTGGAGTAAGGAAACTTGCCCAAGGTTTCACCCTGCTGGGAATCAAACCCAGGTCTCTCATGTGCGAGGTGAGAGCTCTAACCACTGAGCTACAGGACTCCACGGGTACTTTAAGTGCATTGAGATGCCCTTGTGACATGAAAAGTGCTATATAAATGTAAATTGTATTATATTGTTTAGGGTAGTACAGATTTGTAAACCATTCAAGGAAAAAGATGTAACAAATTATCATCACAGGGTTTAATATCAAAGTTTCATAACCCCAAGTTTGTGAAGACTTTTTTTTACACTTAGTTACCAGAAAGACTGAAGAATATCTAGCTGTACTTCCTTGTGGTCACTGATGCTGACGCGATGCGCTTGCTGATAAGTGTCACGAGGTGGTGTTCGAATAATACCTTTATTTACCATACCGAACACAGCCCTTTTGTTCTCTTGTGGTGTGAAATTTAAATATTTGCAAAATAAAGCACAACCCTATAGACAGGGTCACACCATCCCGTTGAAATAGCTCCCATTTAAAGCCTGCTTACACTGGATTTTGCAATGGGAAATGGGAAAAATTACTGTAAGAGACAAGGATAATCCAAGTCTCCAGCTATTCGCAAATACATTAGAATACATTAGAATACACAGCAGAGAAACAGGACATTTGGCCCAACTGGTCCATGCCAGTGGTTATGCTCCACATGAGCCTCCTCCTGCCTTTCCTCAACTGAGCCTTCAAGCACAACCTTCTATTCCTGATGATACATCTTTTCCAAGTTTTTGTTCTTTTCCATTGTTCCCCCTTACCCTTTTGCCAGAAGGACCAGGTTCACCAGGAGACCCTCTTTCACCTGAGGGGCCACTTTTGCCTTCCCCTCCATCAGGGCCAGGAGCACCTGGGCTTCCCTGTGAGCCCTGAGAAGAAAAAATATACGTTTCTGAATCAGAGACTTGTGTGTACCTTGGCTGCTTTGTGGATTAGACGGAGAGCAAGTATAATGCACATTCATCATTCATCCCAGTATTAAGAGACACAAGGTTGTTGACCCATTATGTAAACTAGAACCAGAACTCAAACTGAGTTCAACACCAGTTCAAGTCTTTCCAAACACAAATGCTCCATATCTCTACATCGATAATCACAGTAAGTTGAGATCTAATTCACATTGCTGTACTGACCTGGAAATATTTGCGGCTGATGTTAAATTGAGGAGCGCAACATTCTCAAGAAAAGGAGAGAGAACACTGAGGCATTTGCTTTCTTGGAATAAAATGGAGATACAAAACAAGACAGCTTACATCATCACCCTTGGGACCAGGATCACCTTTAGCTCCAGTCTTCCCTGCTTCGCCCTAAGAAAAGAGAAACTATTTCAGCTGAAGATACTTTGAGTCCCTCTGAACAGCACGGAGCTTAACTGCAATACCATAGGCACATTTAGCAATGAGGCACTGATGGAAAAAAACGACAGTGAGAAAGTGAAAGAAACTGTAACAAAACAATCTTACAGGTTTCCCTTGAGCGCCAGGAGCACCATTAGTCCCCATTGGACCTGCAGGACCTGTGGGACCAATGGGACCCGGCCCACCACTGGCACCAGGTCTACCAGCAGAACCCTGAAGCAAGACAATAAAACAGAAGTAATTAACTGGTAAGGTTTACAGTCAAAATCATAGAATGATAGTGTCCCCCCACCCTCTCCTCCTGGCTCGGGGTCAGACTCCGCCACTGTCAAGCATTGCGGGATGCTGCCCTGCGGAAAGGCCCTATATAAATTCAAGTTGTTGTAATAAATGTATTTAAGAGAAAATTGTTTTGTTATATATCTGAGGGAGAAGGGAAGCGAGAGATATAGGGACGGGGAATAATATAGGGTTGGAGGACAGAAGAGGTGGAGATTAATATGAAGTTTAAAACACTGGCATGAACAAGTTGGAATTGTTTCTGTACCATAACATTCTGTATAACTTGTTTTGCATTGGTTTAAGGATGTTCTTAAATGCATTGAAAGGACTGAAGAAGGACAATATCAAACTCCACAGGGGATTTTAATTGGCTGGCCCTAAAAGTTTATAACATTTTCTAAAAAATTTCTCAAAAAAAAATGGTTTAATCGGTGACAAAAGCAGAGGACATCGGTGACATATGGATAGAATCCTCATTAATATCGATTGATATTTCACCATAATGTATATGTAGCACACTCTTACTGTAGTTAATTTTGCATTTGTTGTATTCTGTGAAGTGCTTTGAGAGGTATCGAAGATGTGATAAGGCGCTATATCAAATGCGAGGATTATTATTATTTTTACTAACCGCAAAACCCTGGGATCCGGGTGATCCATCTTTTCCAGGATTACCCTAAATACAATGAAAAGGAAAACCTCAGGTGTAATGTTCCAAATGTGAATATCACACATTGACGGCTTTGAAAAGCAGATATTCGACATTTAAACAAGGGAGCTAGTCACGTACAGGTGTGCCTGGATTTCCAGCATTCCCCTGAGGACCTGGTCTCCCTCTTGTTCCTGGAAGACCATTTGATCCACGAGTGCCTGGTGCACCAGCTTCACCCTGTCAGATAGGTTAATAAACCAGAAAGATATCAATTAATAAGAGATCAGCGTCAACTTATCCATTTAAATCTGACAGATGCACCAGTCCATGAACCATTTCAATATTAGGAGGTTGTCTTCTTAAGAAAATCCTACATCGAGTTGATAATTTTCTAAGGTCCATTGTATGAAACAAAAGTATTTCGCAAACGTGTGGGGAATTGCTAATGGAACTATATCTCTCTCAAGACTGTTATAAATGGCATTTATGTGCAAAGAATAGTTTCAAGGTGAACTTATATCTATTGGAGGTAAATAGTTTCTATGTTATATCTCTGACTAATACTGTGCTGCATTAAACCATGCTCCACTCTGGATTCAATCAGATAGACACTAGAATACAGTGGATGAGGAAGAGTCAATGCTATTCCAAGATAATAGAGAAATATAATATTATTTCCTAATCCAGCTGCAAATATTCCAGGAAACCGGAGGCACTGCCTGAGAGGAAGAGATGTTCATGATGTCTCTATGACACAAAAGTCAGCCATCTTTGTAGTTTAAAGCAATAAAAACAATGTGTAACAAAAGGAATTAATGATCCTTGATCTGAAGAATATTTTAAAAAAAACAACGAATACTGATTTTCCACAGATTAGTAAATTTAAACATATTGTGGTATTACATTATTACAGAACTGCTTTGTGCCAACCTTACCTTAGTACCTTGACGGCCTGGAAAACCAGGAGATCCTGGGGAACCAGCAAGTCCCTAAATAAACAGAAAGAACTTGATACAGCAAATAGGAATGATAAATAACAGAATCATAAAGGCAGAAGTATAGGCTCATGTGCACAACACGTAGGAACAAGCCTTGAAATTCACTTACACGCTGACCATCTTTGCCAGGTTTACCATCACTACCCCGGGAACCCTGAAAAGAACAAAACAGACAAATACTTCAAGATTAGTTACTTTGGGAAATGCAGGATCAAGTCAAACCAAATGAAATGCAACCATTGGAGATAAACAATGAATACTGTTTAATTAATTTAGTATTAAACCCAGTGCTATTGTCAAATATGCCTTTGGGACAACATTGGTAGTTCTTATAAGAATGCACAGAAAGCCTGCTTCAAAAAAGCCTGCTGTATTAAATTCTGGATGGTTTGAAATGCTAAGAAAATCTATACAAAGTTTGTCTTTTCCAGTTGATTTGTACCAAATTGTGGGTCATTTGTACTCTGGGCTGCATCTATTCATTGAGTTGAGACAACTCAACCCTTTTTCACCTACTGCTCTTATAGCCAGCAGAGAGATGAGGCTGCAACTCATTAGGATTGGTTTCAAACATAGATTCTTGAGAGCAATGCGAGGGAATAATCTGTCTCATCACACTCATTTGTCCTCTTTTATTTCATCACACCTTTTCTAATTCATATTGATGTGGGTTTGTTCTATGCTGTCTGTGGCAGTGGCTGGAAGCAATATTTTAGTATAAAGGGAGCACACTACATTCAATGTCAAAGTGATCTTACTTACAGACAGGCCAGAAGATCCAGGATATCCTCTCTCACCACGTAAACCACGAGATCCCTAAAGGGCAGGTGATTGAGAGCAAGGTTATCTTTATCTTTTCCATAGAATGAGAATTAATTAAAACACTGCTTTCTCTATAAAACACCTTAAATAAGCTTGGCTCAGTTGGTATAACTACAGCCATTGAGAAGAGCCCTGAGCTCAAGACATTAAGCTCACAATCTAGACTGATGTTCCAAGCAGTGCTGCATGAGCACGATATTGTCAGAGATACTGTCCTTCAAATGAGATGTTAAACCAAGGTTTTTTTTCCTGATGTACTGGCTATCAATCCTCTAAATAAAATTGATTATTTAGTTCATGGCTGTGCGAGAAATATTGTTGTATGCAAATTGCCACGTGTCTACAACATACAGTCACTCCATTTGACAATAAAATCCTGTGAAGTACTTTGGGGATGAAAATCTTATATCAAATACAACAATTTTTTTCTATACTAATATAGACTGCTTGTATTTTGGTGAGCAGAGTTTATTTTAATAAAGATACCACTATTTTAAATATTTTTCAATGAATTTAATCTTTTTTTGTTTTCAAATTAACCATTTGTGTTAATAAGGTTTACCATTTAAAATGGGATCTACTTAATGGGGAAACATGTTCAATTTATTTCTATAGCTTCATTTTGAAACTACAATTCTTAGTCCTTATGCATTATATAATGCAGATATCATATGCAAGAGGAGACACAGACCTTGACCAGTGTCTGTAGTCCCAACACTCTGAGTCAGTCAAAGCTACAGTTGTGTTGGGATTCAGCAGGGCTCAGTGGGTTTGTTTGGCAGTGGAGGATTTAGAAAAAAGCCAACAAATCTTCCTTTCTGTTTTTAGCAGCAATTAAGGATAAAAAACAAGCTGTTTACCATTGCACCAGGCTGACCATTGCTTCCAGGAATACCAGGTTCCCCCTGTTTAAAATGAGAATAACTTTTTTTAAGAATAACAGACATGTAACTCCATTGGTCCAAAATATGACTTCATGCGAAATGTATGCATTTTTGGCAACATAAACAAAACGTCATTTACCTTTTCACCGGGAGCCCCAGTCACACCTTTAGCCCCATCAAGTCCATTGAATCCCTATCAGAAACCCAGGGAATTAGTCTTGGGTCAGAAATATGAGTTACATTTAAAGCACATAACCATTGCAGTAATCCTGGTCAACAATCCCTCAGGTAATACTGGTTATTCACTTTGTGGCTGCTCATGAGAGATTGCTGTGAATGTTGCAGGGAGGCGCTGTGAAACATCCTCCCAACGTGATAAAGCATTATATCAAACACAAGTTATTTTCATTATTGTTATTATAATAATCCTTTATATAAATATAAAAGCAGTTAAACATCGAACAGATAATTGTGGCATATTTTAACATGTTGTCTTAAATAATGTAATAAAAGTTTGAACAGACACTTACTCTGTGACCTTTCATGCCAGGCCTGCCAGGCATTCCTGATTGACCAGAATTTCCCTTGAAAAATGAAACACGGTAACATTAATATTTCACATTTATAGAAGACGGTGAAATGTATGTTCGTACAGTGATCGGATTGACTGATCATTTTAACATCACTCACTGGAAGTCCCGGAGATCCACGTTCACCCATTCTCCCTTCTCTGCCGGGTGCACCCTAATTTGAAACAAAGTAAAATAGTTCCATTTAAAAAGGTATAAAATATTATTGTCATAATTGGCAAGTGAGTGAACAACGGATGCTGGACTATTAACTTAAAGAAGAAATGGAAAGGTTTTCAGGATGAAGTGTTTTACCACATTATTAAGCGGCTTTGCCTACCATCAATCACTGAATGCATTTTTTAATTCTACCTGGAGTTTTCCGGGTACACAAATAATGCATTATTTACAGCGCAAATAAATAAATTTTGATGATCAAACAGCCAAAGCACGATGCTGAATAACAAATTCACAATTGGCTTTCATAAACCCTTCAAAATTACTCAAAATGCTTTAATGTTACAGACGAGACTGAAATAACAGTGATCTTAAAAATTAAGAGCAAACACAATACTTACATCTTTGCCTTGTGTTCCAGGAGGGCCCAAGGGACCAGAAGGACCCTGAAACATACATGTACAGTACATTGTTTCTAGTAATACATTGACCTTCCTGGTAATCTGCTCCATGTTTGTACCTCAATGGTGATCAAGCTACAGCACTGGTAAAGAACGAATGAAGAGCTGAAACAAACAATGTTTCAAATAAAGATCACCGTTTTCTTCCTTAGATTAACCACTTTACTGATCAGAAATGGTCGTGACCAGTTGATAAGTTTGTCAGACTTGTTCTGTTACTGCAGGCCAATCGGAGATTGGTTACAAATCCTTGAACAGAACCTGAAGTCTATGTAGATCCATCCACCCAGTCTTACCTGGTAAAACCATTTTGCTATTAAAATGGAAGATTCCTCAGAATTGTGGAATATTCTAAAATTCTGTCCAAATGTGGAAGCAGACCTTTATTAGAAATGTGAAAACCTAGCTTCTAAATGAAGACCGATTCAAAACATTTCCACAATTCTTTCTTAAATTTGAAGGCAAAATGGTCTCACAATATAAGATTAGATGGAATTTGGGGTATAATGTGCATTAAAAAACTTGGCCTTGAATGTTAGCCGAAAATCATCATTGGTGGCAAACAGCATTGAATTCGAGATCAAAAGTAAAGCTCACGTAAATAAAATATAATGCTGTTCCAGTATGCCATAATAAATCTGTACTCAAGACAAGATACGTTTGATTGTGTGGCCAAGGTAGAATTGTAATGTCAATGGCACTGTTAAATCCTGTTACTCATATATATGTCCTATCATAACTCATTTTCCAGTTGCCTCTTCAAATGGAATCACAGAAAGTTACAGCACAGGAGGAGAGCATTCATCTCATCAAAACTGCACCTGTTCATTTAATTCCCCTGTCCTGCTTTATCCCCATACTTCTAATCTCTATCCTTCATAAGCCCTTCTACTTCCCTTTGAAACCCACAATGGACTCTGCCTCTACTGTCTTACTTGGCAGGACATTCCACATCCTGACAGCTCTCTGAGTTACCTTTGAATATTGGGTTGTATTGTCTGTAGATCTCCGTTAAGGTACTCACCATGGAACCAGGTGATCCGGTCTCACCAGCTGGGCCTTGGTAACCACGAGGGCCCTGAATTAGTCAAACCATGAAAGGTTTTATTCAGTTGAATGAAAATGGGTTTGTGCAAGAGAACTTGTCGTTCTTGCCTTCCCCCCCCACTTTAAACACTTGAACAATACCCTTAATAACAGCAGTAGTTTTAACATAAAATTAGGAAAACTAACATATCAATGCAAAATTCTGTAAAAATGTGCTTAGGTTTTAATAATATGAAGTAGCGCAAAAAGCAGGGAGCTGCCAAAATCATTGGCAAAAAAAAGATTGATGTCTCACAAATTTGACCTTACAATTGCTGATGGCATGTGAAGAGCTGGATACTGCCTTATCAAAGAGAGTTTTCAGAGTTTCCAAAAGCCTACTGTTTGCTCCAGTAACTGTGGTCAGTAACAAGAACAACAACTTGCATTTATATAGTGCCCCTCACGCAGGGAAGAATCCTAGAGCACTTGTAAATGATAGCTCACTCGGACTTTGCACTGTACTACGGCCAAAGCTATATGTGGTTGAGGTGAGAGAAATTTTCACAGGCAGGAAAAGTGGAACAGTGAGTGAAGCTTTCCTCCTGACATTCTTGCACAGTTCTTGAACAGATGTAGAGTGTTTGGACGCAAGCACCTCCCCCATTCGCATAAGGGTGGAGGCCTGTGTTAAGTAGCTGCTGCTCCACCCATGTTCCCATGATGTTCTTATGCCACATCTTCCTAATGTTATAGTGCACTGGTTACTTGATATATGGCCCAGGATACCATCCCACCTTTCTCCTTTTTATCTGTAAACCTCAGTAGATTTGCTGCTTTATGGTGCATCCAACAAATTAGATTCAGTAATGTTCTCTCTCCTTTTCTTTCTCTTGGATACCACTTGGAGGCAGGGCTATCCCAGAGTTCATAAAGCAAGTGAAATACCCCATTAAAATACTGAAGAGAGCTACACGTCTTGTAAGCTTTCTCATGTATTGGGTATTGCAGAATATTTCGATGCTGGTAGGACGCAACTCAAGTTAAGGTGAATGTAATGGAAGTCTCAACTCCAATGTCTATGGTCAAAAACTCTAAAATAAAAGGAGTTTGGACTCCTTAATCCAGGGGCTACGTACATAGGCACAAGTTACATTATATTTCTCACTATTGTCTTTAGCTTTTAGAAGACTTCAAGATCCACTCATTGACTTTGACAGCCACCTTGGAGAGAGAGAGAGAGAGAGAGAGAGAGAAAAGCAACCAGAAAACATGAGCCGATACTTACAGCTAGTCCCGGTGGCCCAGACAAACCTCTCAGTCCACGAGGGCCCTAAAGTAAGTTGAATAATTTGACAAGATAATGGGAAATTCAGAAATCAAAAATAACAAAAATTACTTAGAGCTGAACACAAACACTGAAAAAAGGGACGAAAAGAGGAAAAATAACATTTTACCGGTTGCCCGGGGTGACTGGCCATAGAGCCATAGCCATAGCCATAGCCAGAATCTTTGTAGCCATATCTTGGGTTGGAATCATAATTGAATGATGGATGAGGATATTCATTCTGCAGAAAGAATATTTAGCCTTTAAATGCTTGAATTACCTGAAATTCACGACATTGCTCAGACACACGGGTGATATAAAGGAGCAAAATTGCAACACTGGTTCTTGAACAGGTTAAGATATTTCATTAGCATTTACTGTGCATTTTTGTCTCAACATAATCTCTTCTGTTAAAGTGAAAGTAATCGATTCATAGTTGCCACGATAATATTTTACTTAGCATAATGTCCTTAATATACTTCTGTGTGTGTGTGTGTGGAGGTTTTTTTTTATCCGCACAGTTCGAGATATTACCACTTGTGGCCTCTCGGTGACAGTACAATCTGCAACGTCTCAGTCATTCTCGCACTGCTTGAACCCAGCATAAATCTGTGCACTGCGATTGTGGATTTGTAATGCATTCTGGAACCATTCGAGCAAAACGTAAATGGTTTTAAGTGCGTTAGTGAAACAGCAAACCATTCCATTTAAAAAGCAATTCCCTAGATTAAATGTAACTATAAATTGACAGAGTTCTTTCAAATTGAAAGGAAAGCAACCATGGATCTTACTCAATACAGGAGTGCATTTCTATAGCCTCTTAGTGAGATTTCTTTCATAAATCTTATTCGTAATAAATACTTGTGCTGCATTGTTAGATGTAATGCTAAAACCTGTTAGCTACCCAAGTAACAAAAGTTGTCGAAAAGCCACGGCAATAAGACTGAATTTATGGCAGTGTTTCACAGATCGCACAAAATAGGCAGCAGTGTTACGGGTCTCTACTCAGGTGAAAGATCTGCACTATTGCCTTTCCAGCAAACTCTGCTCTGACCGCATGGGTCAGGTTGAAAATACATGAACCTGAGCGTGGTCATTTCCAATGTGAAATGGTCAACTTACCAAATCGTTTCCACCAGCAGGTGGGCCAGGTGGGCCTGGAGGACCAGGGGAACCATCCCTCCCGGGAGGACCAGGCGGACCCTATAACATGAAATGACATTTGATGAGCAGTTATAACCAGCCTGCGATTACAGAACATCATGATGTTTGATACATTGTATTCCGCAATAATGATTCCACCAGAACCACTTCAGGTTAATACCTGGATCGTACTGATTCCTGCCAATGAAGATTGCATCCACAATAGACCAGGTCTATCAAATGTATGCTTCATTTTCTTCATCCTCATAAATCGCAGAGATATACGAAGTTTGAGAATGTAATAATCAGTATAGGAGTTTATGCTCCTCGTGCAATAATTTGCAGTGAATAATAATAATCCCCATTAACCACTCTGTTATTCTGAGACCTCATTGAGGTCTAAAATACAAGAGCAGCAAAAGGATTAGGCGATATTGTTCTTTTTAATAAACGCAGAAGAATATTAATGCCGGCCCAAAGCTTTAAACAATTCAAATTCTAAATTTACTGCTATGTAACAAAACATGAATTAAACGATAGAATTTAAGGACTATTAAAGGGTGTAACAGCCGATGATACATCAACGTGAATTGTAACTAACAGCAAACTGTTGCGCTTTCTCTTTTTTTTGTGAAGTCCGTGATTGATAGCAAATCTACTCAAATAGAACCTTTCTCTATTTTTTCTTCAGAAGGAGACTGATGCTGTGTGGGGATTGTCAAGGCATAAGGAGGGAGGCCTGCCAGTCATCCTACACATTTAAGACAATGTGTGTTTCTTCCTGTTTCTACCCAATTTGTTTCCTCAAGCGGATTTCTTTCTAAACTCGGCAATCCGGAGTCAGCCTATATACACAGTATAGTGTCAAGTGCTCTTCCTCATTCCCACCCACCACATATCTACTAACACGTCATGAATTAAAATTCTAATTGTCACATTAACGTTGAGGTCAAATGGAATGTTTTTCTTAAAGTCTATTGTGATCCATTTTCCCTTCAGGGTCATTTTTCTCCCTATTGTTCTTAATGCACAGCTCAAATCTCATCGAGGGATGGTTATTCCTGTTATATTACAAGACCTGTGAGCCCTCCAAGGTCTTTTCGTCATTCATCAACATTCTCGATCTGTGATTGATGCTGCTCTTCGCAGAGGCTGCCCAACTTCTCTTCAACATGTTGGAATCCATAAGCAATTCATTCGCTCTTCCTCAACTCAAAACGCGAGCAATCAAACAACTTACCCTCTCTGTCCTCAAGCTCTGTTGTGTGCTTAGCGTTGCAAAATTTCTTCACAATTCAGTAAGTTTCAAGCGCTCTGAAACACTACCCTGAGTGGAGGGCGCTACATAAGTGCAAGTTGTTGTTGTTATCGTTGGAAGTTGCAGTAATCTATGTAGTTCCGATGATTTTGAACTTTTTCTACCAAAATAAGTTTTCTACCAAAATTAACCCATTGAGCTGCTTCACGCTCACATTTCTTCCACGTACTGGAAGATGTTGCCCATAGCAATATTGTAAGAAACAGAAGATTCTTGGTTCAGTGCAGTTATCATATCATATCTAATATCCTATATAAGCTCTGCATTATCATAGGTGTCACATCTTCGATAAGCATTATGCCTAGATGTCCTGGCCAACACATTCTCCAGATAAATTGGTCATTCACTTCATGCCTATCTGTAAGACCTGCTGTGTGCAAATTCGCTGCTTCAATTGCGTATAAATACACAATCACTATCCTTGACAGCAATTAACTTGAATACTCCCATATGACAAACAGATATATTGGTCTATTGTAGTCAGTAAACTACAAACTAAAGTAAATGATTTCATTTCTCCAGAGCAATTTGTGTTTAACAGACGTAAAACCACCATTAAAAAAACACCTTCTTGTGCACTTTAACTGTGTTAATACTCATTTGGAACAGATAAACTCTTGGACCAGTTCTCTTTCTCATTTAATTGAGCTACCTAGCCTCATAGACTATAAAAAACACATTCAAACCACATCAATAATGTTTAACATCTCCCTCAGGACTCCTGCTGAACTCAGACATAAAACAGTACGCTGCAACAACTCCAGCAAACTTTCAATCCATCGTTTGCTGGGGTCTCAGAGGACTCCAGAGCAATTGTTTAGTAGCTGAGAGTTAACACTCTTCCTAACATGGAATTTTTCTACATGATTCACAATGACAGGTAGATATCTGGGTACACTTGGGACAATGCCCAAGAGATCACTTTGTGCTAATATGGTCATTTGCAATGTATGACAGATCACAAGCAGCTCCGGGTCACGGAACAGAACTTTAATTCAAGTTCACACAGAACGGATACTTCAACAACTGAGTAGTTTGTAGTTCTTCCCCAGTCACTATTCCAGAACTCACATTATCTCTTCTAGCGGTTATGGTTTGGAGACTAACAACAGTGCCGTCTGCTGGAGGTGTGGTGAAGTTGGAGTTCCTCCCTTGGCTGATAGTGGCAGGGTTCTGAAAGGAGTAATTAAACTGGAAAGTGCTTGATCTCCACTGTGCTTATGGTGCACAGCTCCTTTGGAAAGTGTCACTGCACATTTGCAGTTTTGCCCTCCTGTTCGGTTCAGATTGCCTTATTAAAGTCTCCAATATACATTTTATTTCTTCAGATATTATCTGCCCAGGAGAATAATAATCTATGCATAATAAATCTCCATTTCCACCATAAACATTGGAAATAACAAACTTATTTTGCGGATTTTCTAATCCCTGGCAGGAGTTAGATGGGCTCGCCAGGGAATACTGTCCAGTGTTGTTATTAACCATTACAGCAAACACAACATCAGGAGCAGTCAATAAAAGCTCACGGCTTTTAATTAAAAAAATACAAGACAATTCTTTTCATACTTAATTATATGTTTAATCAAGAGAAAATTTACAGACAGAAAGTGCACTGTTCTCTTGGACTAACTAATCTTATTGCCATGTTCCATGCACTAGAGGACGCTATACTACCATGAGAGGATGAAAATGAATAACTTGCTGTGTGGAAAATAAGGTTCAGGACATGAGCCATTCAGAGTGATACCAAATCTGTAAAATATTTCTGAAATTTTTTTTTAAAAATGAGGAAGTGTTTCTAAAAGTATATAAAATGTGAACAATATTTATTAGTAACTCAAAAGGTGTGCAGATAGATTGCCAGTAATTGGAAGCACCATTTATTTAGTCAAACAATCAGAATACACCTACAAGTAGATAAATAATAATAATATTTGCACTTGATATAGCGCCTTATCACGTGTTCGAGACAGCATCTACACTCAAATCCCTCTGAACGCAGTCTCATGGCATCTACCCTGTCAAGACCCTTAAGAATCTTATAGGTTTCTATATGATTACCTCTAATTCTTCTATATTATAGAGAATATAGGCCAGTTTAATCAACCTATCCTCATAGGTCAGCCCCCTCATCCCAGGAACCAACCTAGTGAATCTACTCTGCACCCCCTCTAAGGCAAATATGTCCAAAACTGCACACAATATTCTAGGTGCGGTCTCACCAAGGTCTTATACAAGTGCAGCAAGACTTCCCTACTCTTGTACTCTAATCCTTTTGCAACGAACGCCAACATTGCATTAGCCTTCCTAGTTACTTGCTGTACCTGCATACTACCTTTTTGTGATTGATGTGCAAGGACACTCAAATCCCTTTGAACACTAACACTACCTAGTCTCTTCCCCCGCTAGAAAATAATCCGTTTTTCTATTTTTACTACCTAGGTGAATAACTTTGTACTTCCCCACATTATACTCCATCTGCTACCTTCTTGCCCACTCACCTAGCCTGTCTATTTCCTTTTGCATTCTTCGTGTGTCATCCTCACAGCTTACTCTCCCACCTATCTTCGTATCGTCCGCGAATTTAGATATGTTAAGTTCTATTTCCTCATCTAAATCATTGATATAGACTGTAAATAATTGAGGCCCAAGCACTGATCCTTGTGGCACTCCACTAGTTACATCCTGCCAATCTGAGAAGGACCTGTTTATCCCTATTCTCTGTTTTCTTCTGGAGGGATATTGGCTTGGACACCGGGATAAAGTTTGTTCTCTTTTCAAGCAGTGTCAATGACAAAACACCAGCGTTTTACCTTTACAAAATTTATATTAAAATACATTGTTAGAAGTTTCAGACTTACTGGGTCTCCTTTGGATCCTTGTTTTTCATTATCGTTCTGCAATAAAATAGATACACATTTTAGTAAAAGCTGAACAGAGAGAATAACCAGAGATGAATTAAAAGGCATTGTTCTAATCGAGAGATCGTAAAGAAACAGAATTGTGACTAGGATAAGATGCAGTGTAAAATACGACTTTTATTGATGGACATTGGTAAATATCAATGTTAAATGTTAACTACATTACCATTAAACATTTTTAAATATGGAGGGCTGTTAAACACATCTACTACTCTTATCAACAATACGTTTGCTACAGGTTTTTAAACTTGAGCTTGTCATCAGCTTACTGAAATTTCCTGAATATGCCGTTTTGGCTGTTTCACTTTTTCAAATCTGATGGTGTACTACACTATGTGAACTTTGGTCCTCAACAAAGTTTTCTCAATTTGAGAGATCCTCAGGAAGATGGAACTCAGGATCCAGGCTAGGGAATAACACAGCCTCAAAAGTTAGGGGAGTGGGGGTACTCGAGGAGGATTGAGTGGGTATATGGAGACCTGTAGCTCAGTGGTTAGAGCACTCGCCTCGCAAACGAGAGACTTGGGTTTGATTTCCAGCAGGGCGAAATGTTCGGCAAGATTCCTTACTCCACACGCCCCTGTATACCTAGCAGTAAGTAGGAACCAACCCGGTTGTTAGTTGATTGGCAGATCATTTTTCCGGGGGTAATAATTCCTTCAATTTAAAAAAAATAATTTGGTGACTCAATCCACGACTATTTGTGGGCCACTGCTGTGTGTAATTGGCTGCCATAGTTCGCCCACAAAATATAAAGTCAATTTACTTTATAGAATATTCTGTGAAATGCTTTGAGACATCTCGAAGATGTGATAAGACGCTATATCAAACACAAGGATTATTATACCAGCCAAGGTCAAAACTAAGGAGATCTGTCCTATCTTTACATGTCTTTAGTCTGCTTACCCTGGATGCTCCCAACAGCCAGGCAATACAATGAGGAGAAACCCTCAGTTCTCAACACTGTTATTGCATTATAGTATGCAATAAAGACCTGTAAGCACTTGAAGCTGACACTGAATACCTGGAAAGGGAAAGTATTCAATATAATCTAGAACTCAACTTGATAGGAGCAATAACATTTCCTGTGAATGAATTTAGTGTAATTCAATATGAATTCCCTCAAATTTAAATGAATTTTGGACCATCAATGTGTAGGGCTAGGGAACATGGGATGGTTTGATCCTTAGACACAGTAAATGGAAGAGCTTAGCAGAGAACAGAGGCCTGAGATTCAAACATTGTCAAACCCAGATTGAGCCACATACCCCTCTAATATGACCAAATAAATCAATAGCTAATAAAGCTAATAAAGGCATCATTCAGAGGCTACTTCATAGCAGCCAGAGAGTGTAACTCTCAGACACATTGGTTGTACTGGGATAAGACTGGAGTTTGTCGAAATTAGAACAAATATAGTTCGTATAGCACCTTTCACTTAAGGAGGAAGTCTGAAAATGCTGGCCACCCAATGTGGGAAGGTAAAAGATGACCAAAAGTGGAGTCAAAGAGACAAGTCTTGAGACCAACCTTGAATGAGGGGAAAGACTGTAATTTCAGAAAGCGGGGCAGAATGGCTGAAAGCCAGCCCGCTGCTGGTGGGCTGACTAACTAAAGAAAAAAAGGTTCTCATGCCTTCAGATGAATAACAAAGCCTTCAAGAGCAGCTTACTGGGGTTAATTTGGGTAAAGAGTTCATAAAAGAACAGGATATAATTCATTAAAAAAAATTGCCTCTGGAACTAAAACATTCGTAAATAAAAGAGACTTTTTAATATCCTTCACCTGAAGATAGGTTTGAGAGCTTTTTAATAAAACTTGTGTATAACCTAACATTTTCTTCAATTACATTTTATAATGCTCAAGCCACAATGTATTATTCAATTGAAACTTATTACCATAAAAACAGTCTTATGTTATTCTTTAGAGAGCCAGTCAATTCTGTTAATGATAAGAAATTGATTTTGGCGACTGAAACATGTTCAAGTGGAAGCTAACCAAAAGATTCTTACAGGTACAGAAGTGGGATTTTCAGGATCTGGAGTTGGACAAGAAGTTAGGATATCACAGAGAGTCAATCCATTATCGCAAACACAGATTTGGCAATCATTTGTATTCCAACTCTCTCCGTTACTTTTTATCACTCCATCAAATATGCAGGTGAAATCTAGAAAACAAATGTACAAGAGAACTGAAATCCACAGATATAAAACAATGGATACATTTCCATTTTGAACTCTCAATGGTATATGTTAGGTGCATATAAATGACACATCCGGATATGAAAGACACTATATCAAATGTAAGATTATTAATTATTACTATTACTACTCTGCTCTTTCCCCAAACCCTCTGTGTTCAATAATGTGATAAATGTAACTTGAAAAGCCATTTGTTAATGTGACACTTCCGATTAAGAGCAGAAATTGCTATTTGCACCTGTCATTATTGTAGCATTTTACACTTTACACTCTAGAAAGCAGTATTCAATAACCTTCAATAAGTAATGTGATCAGTGTTCAGTGTACAAACACTCTCTTTTTCAAATCACCCTTCAGAAAAATAATGTTCAGCAGAGGTTCACTCCTCCAATCATTGAAAAGGAGAGAGAAGTGAATATTCACTCCTCCCAGATCATCTCGGGCACAACAAATTACATTTGTATAGCGCCTTTCATGTCAGGAGGACGTCCCAAGGTGCTGGACATTCAGGGATTTGGACATCAGAACACATTTAGCCTGTGTTTTGAATCAGAAGGCGAAGTCAATCGATTTGTGATAAAGAAAAACAAATAATTACAAACAATATATACAAAATAAAAATGTCCATTACTTCATATCATTTGGCACTAGTTTAACTTTAACAGTGAAGTGTGGTGATGGCTGTTGATAAGTCCTGACTAGGATAAGACTGTATCATATCACACCCCAATAGTCTACGAGCAAATAGAAATATGATACAGATCACATTAGTTCTAAGTCAGACATTGCCTAACTTTCTCTTAAAAATAAAGCATTTTGTATACTTTAACTGCCTATACAATCTGTATTACATCCCAAGAAATAGTCAAGCAACACTGTACTTCTTGAAATTGTTCAAAAATCTAGAGCTATCAGCTGAGGCTTCACTAGTGTAGAAATCCTCTCACTTTAAAGAAAATCGATCTTACGCTGCAGTTAAAAAGATGTTTGCTTTGCAAGATCAAGGATAAATTCCTGGATTTTATCCCAGATTTAACTCAACTGCTATCTATTTATTGAAAGACAATGCCGGAGAGCAAAATAATCTAAAATAACACTTACCATTTTGTGCCCTTGTTAATGACGCCTGCGTTATTACAAGTAGGAGGAAAGTCCCTGTGTGCACAAAGCTATCCATGTCTGCTATTAGACACAAGCCTCTCCTTGCAAATCAAAGGGCGAGTGATTCTTAATGTTCTAACATCAAGTCAAAACGTATTCCTTCTCCTTTCAGCACAATCTCCAGGTCAAATAGCAATCTTGTGTCCAGTGATAATGCTTTAAATAGAAGTACAGCTGGCAATGTGTATCCTCGTTTCTTTCCCCTGAAAATTGTGCCTCAATTTGAGATCCTTAGAATATTACAATGTTTACTCATCGAGTTAAACAGAGAAGGGGAAATCCTCTGAGATTTAATTTTCAGTTTCTGCTGGAACAAGTTAATAGTTTGATTTCTTTCCAAATTTTAGTGTAACATCTATTTGGAAAAGGGGTAAGGGCAGACAGAGCCAAATTCAAATACATTGGAAACAGCTGAATGTTGTACAAGACATCTGTGTTCATTGCACTTTCCCTGTTTCATCCTTTTGTTATGCCACCTATTGTGAAAAGTATGCTTTCATGCAGTTCAGTTATTATTTATTCAATAATAAGCTGTGCATAATAATTAACTAAACAGGGTTCCTTCTAATCATTTCTTTAACAAATTTAACGGTTTACATGATCATTAACACAATTTGATATACTTGGTCCAGCCTTCCATAAAATCAACTGGATTGGCATAGCGACAATGAACATTCATCACTTATGTTAAGTGCCGTTGGACTCCTGGGGAATGGATCAGACTGCAATGGAATGCACAGCTTCTGTCTGTGTTCAGCCTGGACCAAAAGTTAAGTTGCACATCACTTGGAAGAATATTCATTTAAACTCTCGTAGATGACCTAGAGAGTAAAGTCACCCCAGCCCCTACCACCCATCCCGACCTGCCGTCCTGGTGCAGTCTTGGGCCTTACAGTCGAGATGTTTCTAGGCTCGGACCTGGTGAGTGCTGAGTTAACTGATCTCAATCTATCAGTGCTCAGCAATGACACTAGAATTGGTCATGCAGTGAGTTTGGAAGGTAAATAAAATCACTCAAGGTTTCTACTCCTCGTTGCTGTCCACAGCCCTTGTTGTAAAGTGCGTTGATGCAGGTGAAAGGCATAATCAGCTTTTGTTGCCATAATAATAATCCACGTATTTGATAACCACAGTCACATTTCAAAATGTATCACAGGATTTCTACTGTGAAGCGTAGTGACACTTGATAGGTGAACACGACAGTCAATTTTATATTATAATAATAATCCTTAAATTTGATATGGTACTTTATCATATAATTGAGACAATTCAAAGTGCTTAAAATGATATACAGTACTGTTAAATGGTTTGACTGTGTATTTCGTGGGAGAAACACAGCAGCCAGTCTCTGCACAGTGTGACCACTTTTATGTTGCCACGACACTGGGAAAAACTCCCTTTTTTTTTGAATAGTGCTATGAATTGCTAACATGCACCTGAACTGGCAGACAGAACTTCAGTTTAACTTCTCATCCAAAGAACGGCATCCTCGACAATGCAACACACCCAGCACTGCATTGGCACATCAACTCAAACCGCTGAGCCAGGCTGACACACGTATATCTTACAGTAAAATTGTGATACCATGAAATCACTGAAACTAAGAGTCACTTCCTAACAAAGCTACACTTCGTAAAGCTTTGTCCACCACAAACAGACTGTGCAATGACAGCTTCACGTAGTGACACTGACTTCTCCTGGTTGACTCAGGTTTCTGTTAACAATTGTTGTGGGCAGAGGTCAAATTAGTTCCTGGAATAGTGACCCCTCAGGATGCCGGCCTTCACTGCTATCTTGTACTGGTCAGTGTCTAAATCTCCAAGGAGTTAATAACACCAAGGATATTCCTGGGGTCTCCTCTATCCCTGTGAACTGCTGGAGTAGAGGGGATCCAGGATGTTCGTCAAAGCTATGCGGTTTTAGCTGATTAGACTGCAGCAGTACCCCAACGCACACTCTGGAATCCCCAAGCCTTGACTCTTGCCAATGTGGATACTTTCCGGAATTACGTAAGCAGGATGCTTCCCTCCAGAGAGAGAGTGTGCATTCCATTACAGCAATCTATCTCTGGAGTTTCCATGTTTAGGTGGGATGCAGAGAATTCTCAGTTTGGTCTGGATGTTCTTAAGCATGGTGATGGGTTTCTGCATGCGGATATGCTGATCAAAAAAACAAAGGAAGGCCATGGTGCAAGTGATGTAGAGATGAAGATGGTTTGAGAATGGTAGTGTTATTCCCTTCTGCGATCTGTGGGCGTTTATGGTGAAGTCTCTTGAGGAGGAAAAGGAGATGAAGTTCCTAGTAAGGTTTACAAGGCCTGTGAAAGTTATATTCCATATTTCTCATGCTCTTAGGTCAGTAGATCTTTGAAATGAAGTCTGCTGCGGAGGTCACGAGTTCAAGAATCTGAAGAGGAAAAGCTAAGCAAGAGGGAAAGATATTAATTTATGCACAAAAGGTGGGAAAAGATGCGTGAGACTGTTAATACTGCTTTCAAATCATCCTTCAATAGCTTGAGAAATTTATGGTGCAGGATAATGTTGTAGCGAGTAAGAACAAATACGGTTAAGAATCCAGAAAGGGTTAAAAGCAAGCAGAGATTTTTGCGAATGGACGGAGCAAATGGAATGAATCTAAATAATATTCTTTTCTCAGCTACAGTTTCTTGCGTTAATCACATGCAGCATCACTCTTATAAGCAAATTATTTTCCACAAGATTGTAATAATAATGGTAACATTTTATATAGCACCCTTTCATGTCGGGAAGACATTCCAAAGCATTTCACAGGATTCACTGTTATGTTTATTGACTGTGTATGTGTAGGCAAAACGAAGCCTCCAATTTGCACATAGCAATGTTCCATAAACTTCCGAGAAGTGAATGGCTAATTTTATGTGAAAAATAAATTCAGCCAGGGTCATTACTGAACTTATGGTCCAAAATATGAGTTAGTCAGAGATGGGTTAAAATGTTGTGGTTTTGGCAGATCCAAATTGCTGGAGGCAAGGGATTAACATTTTGTAGATTTATGGCATTAATTTGAGTAGATGTAGACTAAAATAATTGTTGGACTTTCATTCCAAACATTTTTTTACATGGGTCAAACACACAGAATCTGCACACTGCTGGGACATAATATTACAAATATTTTCCATGTTCATCTCTCATCATTGATACATTAATAATTTAATAATAATAATCCTTACATTTGATACAGCGCTTTACACATCTTCTAGACGTCTCAAAGCGCTTCACAGAATAGACGGTAAAGTAAATTGACTGTATATTTGTGGGCGAAATGCGGCAGCCAATTGTGCACAGCAGTGTTCGTGGGGAAAAAAAAAAGTGGGATTTTTCTTGAGGGATTATCTTCAGGCATGTGGATTACGAAAACTTGCCCAAGGTTTCACCCTACTGGGAATCAAACCCAGGTCTCGCTTGTAAAGCGAGTGCTCTAACCACTGAGCTACAGGACTCCAAATTGTACTTGATTGGCACATATACCAAGCAGGACTGTCAAGGACATTGGGCCATTCTTCTGATGTGAAAGGCACTATATAAATGTACATTTGAAATGTATTACGCATTGTATTATACATAAACGTAGAAAGTTAGAAATGAGCACTTTATGAGGGAGAAATTCTACTGAAAATAATCATTGTATTTGACATTTATCACATCGTCAAAACGTCTAAGTGCTCCAAGACTCTGTATATAAGTGCTCGTCATCATTGTCTGAAAAGGGTTTCACATATTTTACTGTAAAATATAGTGACTGTGTACTAGTAGTCGAATGGGGCAGGCAATATGAATTGAGTGACAATCCTAAAAACAGTCATGAAGTGAATAACTAATTTGTATCTGGGTAATTAATCAGGGCACCAAAATAAACTTCCTTCTCAATTTGAATAGATTCATGAGAGCATTAACATCCACCACTTGAACAGGCAGAAAAAAAATGTTGGTTTAATGTCTCCTCCGAAGAATGACACCCCCTGCGTCTAGACTTATTCCATTTTCTTTGCATTTCACAGTGTCAGAAATTTGAGAAATTGTTGATTTCAGTCTTAGATCAAAGAGTAAGAACGAACCATAGGTTCTAACTGGACGTGACTGAGTTGTATTATAGCCCACAGATTTTGTAGCCAACATGCAGTCACTCTTGCACAAGCTCTGCCCACTATATAGTAGCACAAATTGGCAAATAATGCATTATGCCTGAAAATGTTCTAACAACAACAATAATAAGATGAAATAGCATTTGATATAGCACTTATCAGATCAGCGAGACATTTCAAAGCATTTCATAGGATATATTGTAAAGTGATGTGATTGTGTGCATTTTGTAGGCCAATTGGCAGCTCTGGAGTCAGCGATCGATTGTATTTGGGTCATATTGCCACAGATAAGCATGATGCACACCGCTGAATCCAATTCATCGCTGCCTGGCTATTTGACAATCTGTAACTGTCGATTTATATGAATGAACCTTGTTCGACCGTGGCTGAAATAATAAATGTTGGCAGCTGTGTATTCACACTCTGAGAAGTATTAACCTCTAATCCAGGACCAGTAGGAGCCAGCAGATCATGACTTCAAAGAGACGGTGTATTCAGTCACAGTATGAAGTAAAAGCAACATCCTACTTCCCGCGGTTCATCCTAAACTATACCACCATCATAAAATGCTTTGAAGGCGTTGATTTGTTTTCTCCTGAGATGAACCTCTTTTATTTTGCCCCTAACAATAATTGCCTTGTTCAATGCAAAAAATATTCTTTGTGAATTACAAGAAGCATTTTTAAAGGACAGAAAACAACAATAGCAGCTGGCATTTATATAGTGCCTTCAGGGAGAACGTCTCAAAGCACTTTACAGAAACAGAGTGGGAGATAAGAGGGTTTAGATGGTACGTGACAATTGGTGCAGTCAGAGAGAGAGATGGGTTTCAGATAAATTCTGAAAGTAGAAAAGAAGGAAGCAAGGCAAAGGATTTAGGGAGAGAGTTTGAGAGAGCAGAGGCAAAGTGGTGAAACCTCTCCCAGTAGTGATGGGGTGCAGGGTTTGGGGTAACGAAGTCTGCATATTCTGCAATCCAATCTATGTGCCTTGCTCAATCCCATAGTTTAAATGAAGAAAAGTTCTCGTAAATAAAGACAGATATCCTCAACCCTTAGGAGGTGAACGTTCAAACACCATATTGTCCTCCCTGATGATGTTCAGATGGAAGAGGTTGTCTGAGTCAACCACTATAAAACAGAAAGTCTCAAAAATGTCAAAATACTTAACTGGTTCAACTTCACCATTTTTGTTTGGAAGATCACAGCTGCAAAGCTCTCATGGGGGAAAAAACATAATTGAGTGAAATCATAATTGATGCCAAACACAAAGCTACTCCTTCAAGAATAGTGCATCTCATGTCACCCTCTTTGCCAGGATCTTAACTTCACTCTTTCAATGTTTTTTTTTAAATATAAGTTTCAAAAGATCTTGCTTTTAAGTGCTAAATTTTCGGTCTCTCTTTGGAAGCCAGTTTCGCACAATTCTTTCAAACTCATCAGCAATCACAGATTTCAAGACAAAATGGACTTATAGAGTGGAAATTTGAGCCTAGCTTCTTGTAAGTAGGATTAATGCCAAGATATTGCTCAATTAAAACAAAGCTTGATGCTGGGATTGGAGGACAGTAGGGCAGGGTTACTAGAAGATGAGATCAAATGGGCTGAAGGGCCTTCTTCATCCAAACCCATCTTGTGATACGTAGAAAGACATCAACACTGCCAAATAGTGGGAAACCAAGTAATTTTAAGCATTAAATATGAACTTTTAGCAGGCCAATGAAAATAAGGCAACTGTAAATAATTTGAAGTGACAGAACTTATTGCTTTAATGTTGAGAAAAGGGTTATGTTGGAACAGGGGAAGGGAAGGATGGAAACAATTAATAAACAAGATGGGGTCTGTCAGATAGAAACAATTTTGTAATAAAAGTAAGGTTGCCTGCATTGCAACAAAACAGACAGTATTCTCCACTGCGCAACTGGTAGAAAATTCTATGGTAGAAAATTTAGGAAGCATTTTAGGGAGCTGTAAGAAGAACGTTCAATTGTTTGAGAAACTCGAACCAGCTCCTGCTTCTGTGATGTCTATCATATTCCAGATGTCATGGTATTTGTACCAGAGATAGAACATGTTAGGTTGCAATTGGTAATGTGAGCAGAATGACAAACTGTACAGCCAGAATGAATGTTAAACTTAACAAACATTCAGGCTGGTTAAGGTTTCAACACATACTTCCAATTCTAAATACAGCTATTGCTCAGTCAGGTTCATACGGAGATAAACCAAGCAGAGTTAATTCATGAATTACAGGACGTTACCCTGTGTGAAAGACACTATATAAATCAAGTTGTTGTTACAACGATCACGCATAATAGAATGAGCAAAATGCAATGCCAAGATATACGTATATTAACACACCTTCAAAAAACAACACTGCTTGATGTAGCTTATTTGTTCTCAGTGAGAATGGTTTCAAATGGCACTTTGTTTGAAGATTCCTAAATGGTTGTATTTTCCAGTTGATAAGAATTTTTGTATTTGATACAATGGTGAAATGTCTCAAAATGCTTCTCAGACAATTGTTGTCAAGTGTAGTGACTATATATTTGTAGACCAACATGCCAGCTGAAAATACCTACTTGTCAAACCTTGTGGTTTACTGTAGCACATGCTTGCATATAAATAAGAAACTCATACTTGATATTACTTTATGATGGCCTTCAAGTTATTACTCTACCCCCTCCTCGCTCCCTCCCTCCCTTCCCTCCCCTCACCCTGATCATTTCCCCCCTGCTCAGATCCTGACCCAACTGTCCAGCGCCTTGGGACGTCCCCCTGACGTGAAAGGCGCTCTATAAATGAAATCTTGTTGTTGTTGTTGTTCTGTGTAAGATATCAACTAAAGCAATGAATATGAGCCTATTGAACAATCTGTTAAGTAAATGCATAGTTAACCTGAACAAACATGTCTGGTGTGCATGATTATTTACATTTTGTTGAATCAATTTCTCCCCCCGAAATTAAAATATTTGGTTGCAAGAAGAACTCCGAAAGGCGACATGACAATAATAGGATCATTCTCAATCTAGGATAGGACACGGTATTATAGTCACATTGCTGCAATAAAAACAGTTCTGGAAAGTTAATTGTTAATCAGAAATCATTTCCCACTTCATTCTGAAATAAAATACTTGGGCAATGTGATAGCATATTTTTATTGATGCCCTAACACTGGGCTCTAACTGGGATACAATTGTGTTGGAAAATATAGGTGACTTTCTGCTGCTTATCATTCTGTAACCCAACAACTTGGTGTTTCAAAGTTTTGTGTCAATGCATTGCCACTTACCTAGACTCAACCGCACACAATGGATTTCACTGTTAGGAAACTTGGCAACTCCCACAATTTGAGTGCATTGCGAAAGCAACAGGGAACAATCAACTAATACAGAGATCTGTTCTGATTCCCAGAAACAATAACCATGGGGATTGCATAGTTAGATTCATCCTAAAGTTTTGTTGAGAAATGTTAGGCCACATCTGGGATACTAATTCAGTCGCTGATTGCTAAAGAGACAGGAACCACCCAGAAGGTTTTCAGACCAACTCTAAATGTTACTTGCTTAACATTTTAAATAGAGGAGTATTGTCCAATGGTATTTTACAATAACACACTTTTTGAAGTGGGTTTATCACAACAGCAAATGAGTATCACATCCATCAACTGAGCCACTTGGTCGGGTGAGATTGCATTAATTACTGGCAGTTTGCAATCTCCATTATTGTAAAGCCTTTATGCTAGCAGTTGGATAAATTAAATTCAACAGGCTTTGTTTGCACTCACATGCCCATGCTAATTTTTTTAAAAAGAAAGCTAATTGTTTGGAAAGGTCACTTTAGGGACTTTAAGTAATAATAATAATCCTTGCATTTGATATAGCGCCTTATCACATAGTTGAGATGCCTCAAAGTGCTTCACAGAATATACTGTAAATTGTAGTGACTGTATTTTGTGTGAAACACGGCAGTCAGTTTATTTTTTTGCTTTATGACTCTTTTGTGCGGAAAGAATCTCACTGGTGAACCAACACAAAGCAAGCCACGGTTTAGTGATAACTGTGGAGAACATATCAGAAACATTCAGATAATGGGTTGAAATATTAGCATTTTATTGCACTATAGTAGAGCTGGACATCGCCCAATAATGCTGAGAGGGTGGGATTGCCTCATGTACCTTAGGGGACAGAATGGAACTCGGAATAGGAAATGCTGCAAGAAAGGGGTTGCTTATGGCCAATGTAGTGAGAGCATTAAACTGCTGAGTTAGTTGATTGCAATGCCTCAAGCCTTGGGAGAATTTTTTGCTATCGTGCCAAAAATGTATGTTTTTATTAGCAAATTTGTTTCACAACCAGC